GCTAGTGGCAATTTCGGATTGCTAAGCATCCTAAGTTCGATTTATCCATGGTGGAAATCTACTCAGGTATATCCATGAATTCGTCGTTTCTGTGCATAACGGCATTGCGAGTCTTTACAGAGTGGTCCGGTTTCTAATACTAAAAATTCAACATTGTGTTCAAAAAATTTCATGTAAACATATACGCATCGTTTTCGAGATATAGGGTGTTGAAAATACGAGTCTGAATATTGTTTTTTGATGAAAAGTTCGAAATTAAAATTATTTCATAAAGTAATTCAAAGTGGTGGTGAAGGAAAAATCACTCAAATTTCTATACGTGCATATCATTCTCAATTTGTAGTCCAAAATCTGAAAATACATAGGTCTTCGCATGGAAAAGCTCACTTGTGAGTTTTTGATGCGATTCGCCATTTTCGAGTTAAATCGGTTCAGAAATATCCCAACATTTTCAGTTCAATAATAATATTCGATAAAAATAAGAGTGCTATCCTCACTGTTTTATCTTATAGAGCGTAACAAGTTTAGTATCTGTGAAAAATGTTGTTGATTTATCCCAAACCGTTTCGAAATTTTCATCAAAAAACGATATTCAGACTCTCGAAAACGACGCGTTTGAAAGTATATGTTTGTATTTCAACGAATAAAACAATATTGAATTTTATGATTTACAAAGCGGACCACCCTGTATATACTGGCACCAAAATGATCACGGCGACTCGGGCGAACTGATAACCAGGATATATAACTGTGTGCTCAGGCTGCGATCACGATGTAGCCACCTTTCGATGTAGGCTGCGATCAATTCAATTGTTTTACTCGCAGTGACGTCTACGAAGATGAGTTCATATCACCACGCCCCCCGAAAGGTTGAATGCCCAGGATCAAGTGCCGCCATATAACTATAGCTTACGTTATATGATAGCTCCTCAACCGCATGTCCATCCACCCCCACTCACTAACGAGTGGACTTCAACCTTATGCATTTGGCAATCTGCATATGTTTTATAAAACCCCTTACTTGGTTTCAGTCTTCCGATTTTTAAACCTTCTGGTCTAATGTGTGTTTCCTAGCCTGACTTTGCGTGGTGGTTCCCTACCCTAATGGGAAGCAAAATTTGAGTTTATGTCTTGTATTATTATTGGTTTACTTTTTAATAGGGTATCAAAGGAGAGACTCTTTTGTTTAGTTATCTGATGATTATTATGCAACTTTTATTGATATTGATGTAATTTCGTTCTTTTATCTTATATTTGGTGAATTGGGCGCCTGTACTTTATTCATATCAAGAAGAATCAGGCTTCAAGTATATATAATGAATTCGAGGCACACATAGACGAGGCGAAAAGATCGCCATCTAGTGACGAAAATATTTCGTTGCTCTATTCAAGCAAATGAACCCATCGGAATGAGAAAACTTGTATGTTGTTTTGATATTATACTGTTGATTCAATTAAACTACTTTCTTGATTTGAACAAGCTCTGCTTCTATGAAATATGAAATATCTATTTGATTCAACAAAAACTTGCTCAGTCCAACAGAAATAATTCATTCATAAATCATTTGTTGATGTAACAAATCCTTTTTCCGTGAAGGACTGGTTTGACGAAAAAAAAAAAACCACCAGTCCTTTATTGAATTAAGAACAGTGAGTTGTTCACTATTCGAAATGAGAATCACTTTCATGAGCATGAAACTTTAGTTTGCTTGAGTTACATCAGCTATTCAAATTTGGAGTAACTTTCCAGAATTTAAAAAGAAATTACTTTTTATTATTCACTGTGAGGCATTGGTTTCTCAGCAAAGTTAATTGAAACTAACATTGAAGATTAGAAATTATGCTTCAATTTATGATTTGAGTAGGGCTCCTGTCATGAATAGCTTTTGAATTTTTGGTACACTTCCAACAAAATAAATACCTTGAAATATACAGGTCGATCGTAGCCCTCCTGATTTTATAATCACTGAGATAGAGACATACGGTCTTTGAGTGTTCAGTACTCGAAAAACAAGGTGTAGAAGTTGAGAAATAAAAATAGTTTTTTCGCAATAACTCTAGAATGATTGTATATTTTACATTCAAATTCGATAAATGATTTCATCTTTGAATACGTCATTTTTTGACCAGAATGTCATTCCGGACATTTGATTCAGTGGTGCGCAACAGGGGGTTGTGGTAATTTTTCCTCCCATATTTTTTTCGCCAATGATGGAATTTTGATTATTTTCAATTTCTTGAATCAATTTTCTTAAAAAAATGCATTGCTATCGATTGACCTGAAATCAACAGTTTTCAACACACAATTTCCTTTTTCCAGTTCTGGTTGCAATTTTTCATTTTCTACAGCCACCTACATTGTTCACCGGATCCATACATTGGGAGCATCCGAATTCCTCGTTGCCTACACCACTGAAGAATATGAAATCAGTTGTTGTAGATTGATGACTAGGTGGAGATAGGTTTGTGTATCTATGGTTTTCACATCAGGGACCATTTTTCAGCGTGTTCAGTCTTGAATCTATTTATTTTACACTCCATTGATGAGTTTTTTTGCTCATCTAGAAATTAATTCATTTCTGTCTCATATTCTGATGTTTGTTGCATTGTATTCTGTTTATCATCCCTCAACTTCTGAAAGAACATGTCTAGCTCAATCTTCCACAAGTTCACTGATTGCTTTCTTCTGATAAGGACGTTTCTTCATTCATCATACAATACGTTAAAGTATCAATATTCTATGTTCGTCGTGGCATATAGCAGCAAAAGTAGTTGTTTTCTGTTGAATGGACCGAGAAAGAATCGATAGTTTTATCATGTGGAGAATGCGAATTCTCAATGTATTTCTTTATATGTATATTTATGTTTATGATTTTATCTGAGAATATTCTATTCAATACTTTCACCCAATCAAGGGGTTTTAACTTGAACGATGGAATTTTTTATGGTTATTTGGTAATTTGGATGGTCATTTTCATAGACCTTTAATCGCAGATTCGTGATTACGTTTTCTCAATTCAGAATTCTTTTCCACGTCCATAAATAATAATTCTCAGCTGTCTGTTCGTTGGATGAAAGTCATGTAACTTGTTTGTGAGGGATATAATTCCCATATCACTGATACGAATGATTTTTTTGGAAGTTCCTATAGATCAGAGTATATACAAATATACTTCTCCTATACATTTCGATTTTCATTTCAATACTGAGCATATTAGTAAGTTACATTTTTATATCATAATACATCATATTATTTTATCCGATTTGAAAGAGAATGTAAATTCTCAATTTCAGAGGATGATTATTTTTCATGCTCTCCTTTTGGATGTTCGTCGCGGTAAATAGCCTGAAAAGTAGTTTTTTTTTCTGTTGATTATTCAGAATGATATTATGTGCATATATATTTTCATCTGAAAGGGAATGCAGATTCTCAACTTCAGAACATTTTGTTTTCGAATTCTTATCGTGTTTGTAATAGATATAATTCAATGTTCGTCGTTGTGCTATCAGAGGAACTGATCCGGTAACGCCGCACTTACAAGTGTTGTCTGGGTTATTTACACTTGTATTGATCACATAGCCATATAGCACTCGACGTCTTGAGGACCTCCATTTCAGGTCCGATTCAGGCCTGAACGTCTGGGACCTATTCAAGACGTACTGAAAACGTCCATTCATGGACATACTGGGTACGTACGATTCCGATGTACTGAGTACGCCCAACTCTGGACGTTATCGAGGACGAAATTGAATACATTGTATAATGATTTGTTTGAAATCATTGCATATATCTGGTGAATTCCAACAGTAGAGTACTCATTTTTTCTGATATTCCATGTGCTAATAGGAGGTGATGATGTGAGCTGCAGGAGTCTTTGATTCCTGGCGTTCTGCTCTTAGGGCCCTAGAATCGAAGAAACTATTTGATATTGTAATTACCGTTCGTGTTCTCCATGCAGTGCGATAAATCCTATATCGCTGAAATATCTCAGGATTTATGAAGATTTCTGTTCATTCTGAATTGGTTTCCATTTGAATATAAATTTCTTGAAATGGAACTGCCATTGATCTTCTGTCAAGGATTGGGAGGTCATTCCTATAAATACAGGAGAAGACAATGCTTCTAAGAAGTTGGGACGTAAGCATTTCTTCGGCCAATGGAATCATTGGGATTCATATTTGGCGCTGAATCATGATTTAGCGGGAAGTTAGGGTTTTGACTTATTAAAACGAAGGTGAGAAAATTTTCAGCACCTATCTGACTTTTTTCCCGGTTAGCCATGGTGGCATGCACTTGTCCTGAGAACAAAAGTGAATTAATACAGCTGCCGTCCATTTTTTTTTCTCCTGAGACTTTACGGGTAAGGGATTCAATCCCCTTACGTAACAGAAAATGTGTTCTACTTTTAAATAGTTTCAGTTTTTAAAATGAAAAATTGGCCACACCTGGATCCTGGATAGCCAACAGTTTGCTCATGAGGTGCGATGAGGCAACAAAAAATCAAGTGCCGAAGTTGCCGAGACTGGTCAGAATGTTCCTGAGTATTGTAGATTCAATGATGTTCTAGAATATTCAATGATGTTCCATAATATTAGAGAGTGCTCTGAAATATTCTATGATATTCGTTGAAGAATAGATCCGGAATATTCCAGAATGATGAAGCATATCCCAGCAGATGGAAGAGTGTTTTAGAATGTCCCAGTTTCTTCCAGAAGATTCTAGGATGTTTTTGAATTTTCTAGAATGTCCTAGAATGTTTTTGAACGTTCTTGAATATTCTAGAATAATCTGAAATCATCTATAGAATGTCCCAGATAAATCTTCCTGATTCCGAAACTTTCAATAAAATTGAGGATTCGATCATTTACTTCATCTTAATAATTTTTGTATTTGATTTTGTAATTCACATTCGATAAGAGCAGGCTGGCGATGTCCAACTCCGGCTAGTACAAAATACAGAAGTTTTACGTGGTTTATAAAAAAGTTGAATTTCACTTACCCAACATGAAAGGGTTTGTTGCGAGAATTCAGATGCCGAGCACAATGTTCCATATATCAAAGAATTTGTGACGATTGGATATCTTTCCAAAGATCTCTTCAAGAAATTTCGAAAATTGTTCATACTGAAACATAAAAAATAGGACATTTTCATACTTTTCAGTAAAAATCGGTAGTATGGATCTATCCATCAATCCATCCATCTGCCCAGGTTAGTCGCGTGGTTGAAGCGTCAGTATTATATTTCAAGATAGATTGCCGGTCGAGTGAGTTCGATTCCCACGACAGCAGAATTTTTCTGATGGCCTAAGAAAGTTTTTGGGATCACACTTTGAAATGTAAGCCCCCCCCCCCGTCATTCCTTATTGCTGGCACAAGTCTCTCGAAGACTTCTGAGGGTTGCTCGTGAGGGCGCAAACGGATGACAGATAAGAACAATTTGAGAACAACAATCTATTACACATTGATTATAAAGACCGTGGCATGATCATATACTTATTACTACCTAGATATTTACACCTCTCTATATGTATTATTGTTGTAAGTAGTTGTACATGAACTCATTGTTTCAAGTAGCCAGTTGGCAGTTACCACGTAACCTGTAGAAAACTTTGATTTTGTACCTTTTTAAAAAAATTTGTTGCTGTGAAATTGCTGTTGCTGAACTAGATATTCTATATTGAATGGAGAAAACAGAAACACTTCAAACTGACGAACATATGATGTCTAATGATCAATTTATAAACTCAACTGAGCTAAGAATGAGAAATCGGATTAAAAATCTACAAAGGAGCTGATTTGTTGAATATTTTGATTGAATAGACCAATTAGCTTCCAAAGATTCTAGATTAAGGTAATTATTAATTTTTCGTTTAGTTGGGTTTATAAATCCAACATAACGATATATTCTCAAATACAATTCATGCAATCATCAAGTACAAAAAAAGTTTTCACACAAACTAGAAAAATAAACTAGCGATTTTTTCTGATCTAGCGATTTTTATGATCATGAGCGATTATTGTGATCTATCGATTTTTCTGTTTGAGAAAAGTCAAATATCTTTCCTATCACAATATTATATCTAAAACATTTTAAATGTGAGTTGGAAGCCGTTGGAAGCACTCCAACCAAGCGTTTATTTATAGAAATTCGCACAAGACCAACGAGACGAGATTTTCATTAGGTCTTGTCTCGTCTCGTTGATGAAAAAATAAGTCTCGTCTCGCAGCCACCATCAGTCTCGTCTCGCTTCTCGAACGAGAGTCTCGTAAGAGCATCGAAATCTCGTCATGCATCATCTAATTGTTTCAGTGCAATAAGGAATACTTTAATACTTGCTTTATGTAAGAGTCGGAAGCCTTTATTTTTTATGGCAGGTTCGAAGACAGCGGCGACGTGATTCGGATACCCAAAGTAGAGCAAAACAATCAGAATGATGACCTTCAATCTATGCAAATGATAACGCCGATAAAGCGGCTATCAAAATAAGCAATTCTTCGAAAAAACAAATCAATGTCCAACATTATTCAATATACCTACTTTTTAGTTCATTTTGAAAATATGATAGAGAAGTGTTTTTACAAAAAGTTTTTGTTATTCATGTTCAATTAAGTTTTGAAGTCTGCTCGCAGATATATTCATTTTCGAGACTCTCGTACGAGACCCGAGACGTCTTCCACAAGATACCAGATGATATTAAACCAATAAAAGTCCCGTCTTATCCGAGTATTGTCTCGAGTCTCGTCGTGGTCTCGAGACAAGACCATGCGAGATTATCGTGCGAACCACTATTCATTTACCTCAACCCACAAGGGATGCCTTTTCCCTTACCCCCTACCCCTACCTGGCTGCGCCCATGGGTGTTGAACTATCTTTTCTAATCATATGCCTCACGCGAGGCCTCACGATAATTTTACTTCTTCATATAGAGAATGAAATCATCCCAACTATAAGAACTTGTGCTCACAATACTTCCGAAACTTCTGTCGGAAATTTCCAACTATATCAAAAACTACTTTGACGACAAAACGCATATGCAACTAACGGAGGAACGACTCATGCATTACCTGATGCCAGGATCTAGTAATATATACAGGGTGTTGCGAAATTCGACCGACAACGCTTGACAGGTGATAGCGCTCGTGATTTCATAATCACTGAGATAGGGACATACGGTCTTCAAGTGTTCAGTTCTCGAGATACAGGGCGTTGAAGTTAAGAAATTAAAATAGTTTTCTCGCAATATCTCAAGAAAAATTGAATATAATGCATTCAAATTCGGTATATGGTTTCATCTTTCAACGGTTAATTTTTTGACCAGAAAGACATTCCGAGAATTGTATCCAGAGGTGCGCTACAGAGGGTTGTGATAACTTTTCCTCCCATATTTTCTACGCCACTGATGATATTTTTATCATTTCCAATTTCTCGAATTGATTGTTCAATTATGTTGAAAAAATGCATCACCTTCAACTAAGCTAAAATGAACAGTTATCGAAATATTTGACCCAAAATAAAAGTTTGCATAGTAATTTTTCATCTTCCTCAGTAGTAGAAAGTTAAAAAAAAAATTGTTTTCTATTTATGCGTGGAATAACTATTTCTGTTCAGCTATAGAATGGGATCTGAATAGTTTCTAATCTACTCAACACCAGAAAAATATTTTTGTAATTTTCTACTACTGAAAATGATGAAATATTACTATGCAATCTTCTATTCTGGGTCGAATATTCCGAAAACTGTTCATGTCAGCTCAGTTGAAGTTGATGCATTTTTTGAACAAAATTGAACAATGAATTCGAGGAATTGAAAATAATCGAAAGTTAATCAGTGGCGTAGAAAATATGGGAGGAAAAGTTGCCACAACCCCCTGTAGGGCACCACTGGATAAAATGTCCGAAATGGCTTCCTGGTCAAAAAATGACCTATTCAAAGATGAAACCAAATACCGAAGTTGAATGCATTATATTCAATTATTCTTGAGATATTGCGAAACAACTATTTTTTTTTTCTTTACTTTAACGCCCTGTATCTCGAGAACTGAACACTTTAAGACCGTATGTCCCTATCTCAGTGATCATGAAATCACGAGGGCTATCACCTGTCAAGCGTTGTCGGTCGAATTTCGAAACACCCTGTATATAATAAGTGCGAAATAATTCAGGAGGTGATTTCTTGTCATAAATTTTCTCGATAATTTTAGGGATGATAGCATAAAGGAATTTTGTATTTCGTTCAAAATTTCAATATCAAATCGTAGGGCGCTTTCGGCTAATAAGCCATCATCAGTGCTATATATACTCCTGAAGAATTCACAAAAAGATCCAAAATGTAATTGACAATCATTATGGTACAAACGGTATTAAAAACAAACATATAGGTATTTAACAAATAAGTACACCAATTGGTTATCGTAAAGATATAAAGGTTCCTCGTGCTCTCCTTCGGATCTGGACAAAAATCTTATGATATTTTATTTCTCAAGATTGTACGATAATCCAATAGGGTACCCAATTTATTTGTTAAATGTATGTGTTTTGTTCCTCATCTTGAATTCCTCAGAAAGATAGATAGATACCTAAGTAACGAACCTTTCTTGACATTCACTTTATTCGCCTCTTGTCAATATATACATACAGTTGTGGTACTATCACATTACACGACATTATACAATTACATTTAGACATTTACCCATATCAGACGACCATGTTATCGTCATGCCTCTGTCCAGATAGATCTCTGTCCATGACGCGACTGGACTGGTGCTCACACCATGTTGCCAGGTTGCCTCCACAATTAAGTTCCATTGAAAACTGAATTACAAATACCGTCAGTGAAATAATTCTCATACATCACGGTGTGTCTGTTCTTATTACCTACCGTTTGTAGGGTGACGATTGACTATGGATTCCATGCTTTCAACACTCAATATCTCAAAAACTAAATAGGAGTTTCGAAACTTCATAACAACATTTCGAATCAGATGTTGTTCTCTTTCGAATAGTACCCCCCAAACATAATATCTCCAATTCATATACGAGGGATTCAAAAGAGTGATTTGCTGATTTCAAAAATATATAATTTTTATACATTCCATAGAGAAATACTGGGTGAATGGAAGGAATATTGATTAGAGTGTGGTCGTAAAATCATCTAATTGATTGCTGCCAGGTCAACTGACAAGTGACAATCGATATTATCGATAATCTCGCCTGGTCTCAACTCAGCTTGAGTTTAATTAGATGATTTCATGACGAAACTTTCAATTAATCTCAAGTTTTATTCCTTCGGTTTACCCACTATTACTCTATGGATGCATGAAAATCATATATTTTTGAAATCAGCAAAATTCACTCTTTCAAGATAGGCGCCGAATTTGTCTATGCGCTAAAATTCACTAGATAGCCGCTCACGATGCGAAGGTAATGTCGGTTCGAATCCAGCAATCGGCTGAGCATTTTTCTTCGAAAATGTGTGATTCTTGGTTGTAATCCTGGCAGCACCTCGATGCCCTAGAAGTGGTTCGGATTCCACTATAAGCTGTAGGTCCTGCTCTTCCTAACCGCGCACAAGTTTCCACTTCTCGGGAGTTGGTTTCCAACTTTGAAGTAGCGATATACAAATCTTACAAAAAAATCAAATGCAATGAAATATAGTGTTCCAATGTTCCATTCAAAAAGATTGAACATTTTCACACCCCACGTATTTGCAATGGAGATATCATGGTTATTGGAAGACCACCATTCGAAATAAGAGAACAACATTTGATTCAAGATTTTGTTTTGAAGTTTCCAATACCTATCTTAATTAGTTTTCGAGATATTGAGTGTTGAAAGTGTGAAATCCACAGTCAATCACCCTTAACATAATGATATCTCGTCGATTAAATTTTGAACCTTTTCGTAAATACTTGACGAGTAAATATGTCACGGATCACCGCCTGATTTTTTTCTTACTCATTCACACCATGTAAACTCTATATGGTTCGCAATTAAAGATAGATGAACTGAAACCAACTCAATTAGTCAGTCATGTGACAACTCAACAATCACAAATTAGTTTCCAATCGGAACGTAGGACCAGAAAAAAATAGAAGTAACTATAGGGTCCCTTGATGTAAATTGACGTCAAAGTCATCTTAACAGGGTACGGACAAATCATAGCTGCATCAATGACGGCTAAGTATCAAGTAGATCAGGTCGGCAGCTTACCTATGATATTCAGCCGTCATTGGCTGCATTCTTTTTCAATGATCTAGAGACTTTAGTTTTGACTACTGGCATTCCTGACATTGCTGTCACGTCACATCCATGTACGCTACAGAAAATCATTCAAAATTTTAATAATAGGGGTGTGTACAGGAGGGTATTTACTTATTCATAGGAAGATTACATGGCGAACGAGTTTTGTGATTATGATCCGATTCTATTCAAAAATGGAAGGTATCTCGGGTTTTCCGCGGTTGGAGATACTTTACTCAATAAATTATTTTAAAATGACTTTTTATCTAAGGGAGACGGAAAAATCATATGTTCTACATGGGGTTAAGTATATTCTATTCTTTATTTTCCTGTACATTTTACGTATTACTTTTTATCAGCATACTTTTCGTCCTAGACGAAGTTTTATACATAGTGTGATATTAGCCACTCCATAAATTCTTCTCCTAGTTGGATTTCCGGAAATATATTTAGCACACATGATATGAGTACAGTAGTTTAGATACCCACATCGAGGTTTTCACCATTTCTCAATCATAAGGCTCAGCTCATTCAGCTCATAGATAAACTACTGCTCAGCTTGAAATCAAAATTCATTCAGTCAATTCAGTCAACCCTGGTGTACAGTCTAGGAACAGTATCTTTTGGTGGAAAATATTAAGCTTTCAGTACAATTTATATAATCCCTACCTCGCAAAGATTGTGCTGGAGTAGTAAACTCTGAAACTATAAGAGGACTGTTGATCTATATCTTGGTATAGTTGAATCAGGAATCCCATATGAATATTACGTATCATACGCCAATGACCTCAATATAACCTTAAAAACAACAAATGTCAAAACTCTAGTGTTTATCCCTAGAATTGAATAAGGATGGAACTATATATTATAACTGTTTCACAAACACTTCAGAGTAAGAGGAGACAAGGATCTGTCCGTACCCTGGTAGGATGACAAATACGTCAGTTTGCATCAAGGGCAAGGGACCCTAGAAGTAACTAACCGATGAAAATAATAAACGAGAGAAAAATATTGACTACCAGGCAGGAATCATCTGATTGAACCATATATACATACCTATATTAATTACACATACAGTCACGTTGTTGGTTCTTTATTTCATATATGTTTACTGTTTAGTTATACTAGAGTCCCTGTATGTATTTGACACTTTTGCTGTAATAAGAGTACGGACACTATGACAAGCAGTGACAAAAGGCATAACCCTAAAAAATTTGAAATGACATGAAAAATTTGGCGGGCACTGACAGTTCATGAACGTACATGACATTAAATTATTTGAAAATTCAGGTTTTCAGAAATTAAAATGTCTAATTGTGTAGTGGAGAATTGCAAAAATGGGAGCGAGTCCTTTCATTTATTCCATTTCCCCCATTCTATAACCAACAAGTACATATACCCTTTGTTAAGTATATCGAGAAATACTTTCAACAAATTGATTTACAAACTATGACCTCTTTTCGCCAGTGAGATGAGACGCCACTTCTTTATGAAAATAAAGACAGAGAAAGATATATGGATGTACCCTTCACCGCGGCAGTAGAGGATAGAAGATCCGAAGTGCATGGAAAAGCATATCCATGTCTTTGTTCAAAAGTCATTTTGAGAATTTGGGGTTATGCTTTCCGTCACTGCTTGTCATAGTGTCCGTACTCTTATTACAACAAAACTGACAAATATATACAGGGAATTATACATACAGGGACTCTAAGTTATACCACCAAAGTCATATTATTTCGATATAAATATTCAGCGATTGTAACAACAGCATAATGTTGCCTAATTATTTTGCGAATGATATATATTGTTCATCAAAACTGCTGAGCCGTTGGCGAGTAGTTTGGTACAATATGGGTACAATATCATCACGAGTGAAATGAAAGCAGCAAGCTGGAATATTACAGCCGACAAATATTTTCTAGGAAAATAGTACCCCTATCACGAGTTCGTATTCGTTTGTGCATTATACTATTTCATGATCTGTAGTTCATGATTAAATAAGACAATACACGTACCGTCAAAAATGCGATTGGGTGTTCAAGTTTGAAAAAGTGATTTGACTAACTCATGGGGGGGCATAAACATTCGAGACTTTGAAATGGATGAATAAACATCGAGATTACCTATAGATTTGTAATAAGGCTAGTAAGATATTAGATACTTTACCGATTGTAGGTACTAAAATAGTCCAACGCAGCTACTTAATTATCTCGAACGTATCGGTTTTGTATCAGTCTTGACTTAGCATCCAGTAATCTCAATCTTAAGTCCAAGAATGAGAGATATGTTCTCAAACTCTGCTTGAGCTGATTTAAAGTGGAAATTAACCTTTCCAGTTGGTTTGAGCTATGCAGAATAGCAGTTTTTCCGTTCAGAGACATGTTGTTTGATATGCATTCGACAACTGTCATGCAAACAAAAATAAGTAAATTACCTACCAACCGTCAAGTTAATTTATGACAGATTGTGTATATTATACAAGAGCTACGGAATCTCCTTAACATAATACCTACCTTACCTACATACTACATAGCACAGAACTCCATAGTAGATTTTTTATTATTACCAAATTTTTGTGGGTGCTGAATTCGAATCTGGTGTTATTCAAGAAACTTTCCTAGTGCTTTTTGAAATCGCCACAAAAAACGGCAATATTTGCGTACTTTTTCTGGGTTTTCGTTTATAGTAGCGAGAATATCAATGATAATCTCTCAAGTTAATGGCCTGGCATGGCCATTACCAATTAATATCGTGATGTTATCTTTGAAGCACAGACGCTTGTCCAGCATGACTCCCAAGTATTTCACTGAGGTGTCGGCTGTCACCCTTGCGTCTTCGACAAGCAAAGGCCCGTGTACAATAGTATATATATACTGACACTGTTGGTTTATTTTTAGTGAAACTAATCGACTCAGTTTTCTCATGATTGACACAGATCTTTGTATTGTCAAAGAACGGTATGATTTTCCTGTCCAGATGGATCTGGCGACGTCTGAACAGTACGAATGTGCGTACACTGCCGTGTCTTCGGCGTATCGAGCAGTATTCGTACGTTCAAACACACGAAAACCATGAGTATGTAAAGAGTTCAACAAGGGTCACAGACACGATCCCTGTGGAACTCCTGCCTCGTAGGGCTGACTTGTTGAAATTGTTTAATTTTGACTTTCATCTTCCTATAGGCTACATACGAGTCCGCCATTTCAACCATGAATATTGACAGCCCTGCCTTCCTCATCTTGGATATTAAACATTCATGCCATATCGTGTCGAAAGCTTTCTCGATATCCATCAGTATCATAACCATGTTCTTATCCTGATCAAAGGCTTCTTTGATCGCGTGAATGATTCTGGAAACTTGGGACCTTGTGCCATGTCCTTTTCGAAACCCGAATTGCTCAGGAGGAATCACACTTAGGTCTTCGGGGCAAGAGTGTCGATCATGTAAAGGAGGTATTTAGTTCAGTTTTAG